GCAAAAAGAAACTTTTGCTAGATGTCCAGTGGACAAGACTCTCCTTCCAACTCATTCATTGTTCACATACAAAAGAAAAAGACAGAAGAACTGAAATAATTACAAAAGATAGTCAAATATAATTGCATTAGACAGGGAGCAAAAATCTGAAACTGTGAATTCTAAATGTATCTGTTTCTAGACACCAGAGCTGTTCTGTAAATCAAAGGTAACCAGAACTCTGTAAATCTGAGAAGAAATGTGATTACGTTAGGAGTAAATTTGGGTCAAAGATTCAGAATGTTTTTTTCCACCAAGTAGTATTGAGTCAAACAGTACTATTGACAGGATTCTGAGCATTAAAGACAGGCATCGCTGGACTTTCACAATATTTCCTCAGACGTTGGTAGATTGGGCTTGGTATGTACAATGAATTGAAATGTAGCACATCATTCTCAGTCAAATGCCCTGTGACACAGCATGTACCTCTTATCCTAGATTCATGGTTCAGATCTACCAGCATGTTCTGTCCTTGGTTTTTGCTGTTCAGGAGATCAATGAAAATCCTCAGATCGTATCCAATGTCACCCTCGGCTTCCACATCTATAATAGTCGCTTCATGCCAAGTCCAACTTACCATGCTTCCTTGGAAATTTTCTCTACAAAAGGCAGATTCACCCCTAATTACAATTGTGATACCCAGAACAATCTAATGGCAGTCATCGGAGGACCTAACCCTGAAGTCATCCACCACATGGCTACTATTTTGTCCATCTTCAAACGTCCGCAGGTAAGATTTGCTCCTCTCTTTCTTTTTACTATTCCTTTGAGGTGTAAAGCGACAGAAATTGCGAATTAAATAAAGGCAAATCCGTTGCTTTTTTTTCCAGTGAGTAATTATGTTAGAAAGAGCAATCAAAATACTGTACCATTTTGTAGTTTTCTACCATCTTTTGGTGATTGGAGGACCTAACCCTCAAATCATTTGCCACATGGCGACCGTTCTGTGTATCTTCCAATGTCCACAGATAAAATTTGTAGATGGCTAATAGAAGTTTCTCACATCTTTATTTTTTTAATTTATTCTATTTATATCCCACCTATCTGGTCAGTTACGAAACATCAGTTTCTTTTTAATATGCCTTTGTGGTTTAAAGACAGAATAAAATTCAGGGCGGGAGGAAGCATATCATTTTTTTATTATTTTCTTCTGTGAGTAGTCATGTTAGAAGGAACAATCAAAACCCCTTTCTCCACTCTCTTGGGGATAGTATCATTTAGATCGCCAGATCATTAGCTTAGTATAAACAGAGACACATTTTACTTCTCATTTAAAAAAATAATAATTTCAAAAATTAAAATGAATGAATGAATATTGTATATAAGATGGTTTTAAATTTCAGTAGAATTAGTGCTGTTGTTT